AAAGCAGTGAAAATCATTAACAGGCAATCGTTCGGTGGGTTGAATTGCACAAAACGCATGATCGCAACGGCTAGTCTGGTGCGCGTTGCCATTTATTTACACCTGCTGCTCTTGCTAAATCTTGCGCATCTATGATTACACATTTCTTGCAGACATTTGATTTCGTTTACTTATTTTGAGAGTTATTTCCACTATGTTTGTACAGTCATGGTCAAGCAGCACAAACAACCTTATCTCAAACGTTTTCTTCTGAGTGCGGGATTGATTGCTTGTGTTGCAGGTGGAAGCACTCAATGCTTCGAAATTAAAAACTTTCAAGAAATGTGACAGCTCGTATCTCTTTTCGGTGTACACGGATAAGCCTAAAGACGGTACGTTTTATGTTGTATATGTGGCGCGATCATTGAATGTTTGGCGTACGGGAAGCAAGGAGGAAGCAACGCGGCTGAGAGATCGGCTGAACAAACTAAAGCCACTTATCAGTGCACTAGGTAGGTCTTTTAATTCACTTAATTACCGAAATTATCAGAATATTCTTCAATAATCTGTATGGTAGATTCGATTTAAGTAATATTACCGGGCAGTTAGCCAAAATAAAGGAAGAAAATCACAGATTTTTTCAGAAGACAGTATTATCATGATAATTAACGGAAAGAATTTTTACTTTAACGTTTCTGTGTCGCCTCGTTGAAATATCCGACCTGCGATGGTGCAGAGGGAGCAAAAAAAAAAAAATCATGAAAAACTCCCATACTTTGAATCCTCTTCTGTTTTTTCGCTCCATTTTTCCCAGTTTGAAGCGTTTTCCGACTATTTTGGATCTGCCTATTTTGACTTTTTATACTTTTCCGTTGATTTCAGTGCACTTTCGCCTGAATTTCACATTCTTTGACTTAGTTTTTCCCCGTGGATGGAAGTAAATCTCGTCTTCTTGCCTTCGACTGTACCATCAGAAATTGGAATTTGGCATTACAGAAAAGGCGGACTCAAAAACTTTCCCGAAAGAACTGGAGCAACTGCGACAATCTGTACAGAACAATCATACTTATGGCAATATACATCACGCTGCTGCTTGCAATTTCGCCAGCATTATCAGAAAACTCTGTGAGAATAAGCAACACGAAATGTCAGTGAATTATCTACTGATAAGAAACTGCAAAATTGCACTAATAATACCCCTATTATTCATATCATGATTTTGCGAGATTTGTGCTTCGCCGATTTCTGCTAATGATAATCTTGAGAAAAATTATAAAATAATTCACCAATCGGTGATTTTGCGAGCGAAAATAAAGAATGTGAGACTGTTTTTGAAATTTAGTCAAATCGAAGATCTTTTTTGGTATTAGTGATTCTAAAAAGCTAACTTCAGTGTAGTGAACGAAGCAACTACTGACGGATGTTTTCCATTGCAAATTGCGGTGGCCAACGAAGCCAAGGAATCAGTTCAAGAGTTGCTTCGTCTTGGGGCCAGTGCGACCAAACCGGACTGTCATTTACGGAATGCGATTCACTACGCCGCCGAGCGGGATCCAGAAATTCTAGAGGTGTGATTCTTTATCATCTTATCAAAATCTTTTTGTACATTTCGTGATAATTGTTTCTTTTGGGAACGAATTATTATTGCTCCCTGCAAGATAATGAATACAGCACTTTCATATTGCAGCAAAGAATCAAAAGCACCATTAGAGGAAATTCATAATCAAAAACACCAGTAGAGTGTAATTAGAAATGAGTTTTCTATTTTTGAAAGTGTTCAAGAAATTTTCGGTTTTCCAGTTAAAAAACTGAAAAATTAGGATTGTCTAGAAACCATGCTTTTTACTGTTTCCTTGAAAATTTCTGAACCACAGATTTGGCACTTTTCATGGAAAGCATAACCGAGGGAATGCACTTAAAAAACTAACATTCTAACGAAAGAAATGCGTTAATTTTACTTTTTTCAACTGACGACGTGTCTCAAAATAATAGTCCACTGTATGCGCTGTAGAGGTAATTGAAAATCACTGTGAACAGTTAAACTATTTCGATTCATTGTCCATTCTGCTCTTTTCTTTTTGATATGCTCCGGCGATAAAACTGTCATTCTTCTGCACAAATGTAGCTTTTTGGAGCTGACCGGAGTGATTTTCGAGTCAAATTGAGCAAATCGTTCTTTTATTCTTTGATTTTTTTGTCAGTGGAATCCTACCATGTAAAAATACACAACGCAGTAGTAGTTAGACGAGGATTTAAGTGGAGCATTTTGATTCATTTCTGTTCATTAAACTGTCTTAGTTAGTTTTAGTTATTGTTGTCATCAATAGCAAATGCCCAGAACGCTGTGAATGCGATAGACGAAGATGGCTTATCGCCACTGTGCCTCGCAATTTTTTCGGGAAAAACAGAATGTGTCGAGATATTACTCGATGCGAATTGCTCAACAGGCCCCTTCCCAGGCGGACGTTTAGTTGCAATGGTCACTGTAGCAACTGCATCTCCCGAACTACCGAAGTACATTTCTTTCACTTTTTATGCATTTTTTGCATCTATGCAATGCAAAAATGCATATTATCGAGGGGTTGTTTGTGTGTTCGTCTGTACTGATTATTTATCTCGAGACCTACAAAAACTACAATG